AAAAAAAAAAAAACAAACAAACAAACAAAAAAACTAAAAAGACCAAAGAAAATGAGTTCAACATGATTTCATAAGCAATCATGTAGTTTGGACAAGAAGCACATTCTATCAAGGTGTTTCACTTCAGGATAAACAATCCATCCAAACGAGCTGTGCATAATCCATGATCCATTACATGAATCAACAACACACAAGGAATCCAAACAAACGGTGCAATAGGGGACATCAAAGCAGAAATCCCTTCGTCAGGCACCACCACTACACATATGGTAGTATACGAGCATTCAATCTAGGGCATAAAAGGAAACTTTAATAGAGTACAATATGATCCCACCATCATAAGATATGCTAATTTATAACATCTACTCGAGAGTTAAAAATTCGAGTTCTCTCACCTTTTTCTCCTGGGTTGTGTATTAAAGATGGAGCAAAGGCAAGGCCATCATGGCCGCAAAAATCGAAACGAGCAATAAGAGCAGCCATGTAGGGATGGATCTCCGCCTCTGTTGCTGGGGTTGGTTGTTATTCAACTCTTTCGGGAGTTGGCCGTCAACTGACTCCTCAGCTGGCCCACGTCTCGTCAGAGTGGAATTCTTGTCCTGGGCGGATTGTTTTGTTTCCTGAGGTTGCTCGGCTGCTAGCTGCTCCTCGTATTTCTCTACGTATTCGGGAAATAGTTTCCGAAAGGTTGCACTATTTCGGGGAAAAGTAAAGAACATTAAACAAAACAAAAGTAACTCTAAGAGCGTGATTGGATACAATATAGACGCTCAAAATGGGTATTCTGGGTTAACTATGGTTAATTTTAAAAAAGGTGGACCAATTGTTAGTGGGATTTTGAGTTTATGTTATAATAATTAAAGTTGATTTGATGTAAAAGTACGAGAGATGATGTGAAGTGAAATGATGTGAGTGGATAGATAGTGAATTAAAGGTGATGTGATGTGTAAGAATGATTAATTTGTATTATTTAATAATATTGATATTATTGATGAAAGTGGGGTTGGGTTAAAGTTGAGTATGATTTTGAGTTGGATTGAGTAGGGAATAAAAAAATTTATATCCAAGAATGCCCTAAATATTCTGCACCCATAATGTGCAGAAAACCAAATAAATTAAAAAATTTAGAATCAAGTGAACTTTCAAAATTGCAAGGACCCTATTTGATATGTTTCTTTTTATTTGTTATACAAATTGCTTCTCAATAAGGGAGGCACTAATTATGTATTTATGTTACACCACGGAATATTTGTTCAAATTCCACGTAGTGTATGTTTGATCTATGAAACTTCACCGAAACAGTTAAGTTAAAAACCATGTGAAAACCAATTCTTGTGAAGATCATATATAGATTTTGATTAGGAACTTACTTTTTACAATTAAAAGCCAGAGAAGCCTTTGCAAGCATCCGTTTTTCTTCATCAGTCGTAGAGACACTGCCTGTGGTGGGACTATTGTCCAGCTGTAATGCAACATGAGGACCATTGGGTTCTTAATATTTAAGTTCTACATAAAAAGAATTTAAGCTATATTTTGGAAAGGGGAAACTATGCCCAACATGTTATATGCATATGAATTATTCGAACGCGAAATGGAAAGAAAAATTTCAAAAAAAAAAAAAAAAAAAAAAAA